TAAGAGGGCAGCACCTCCTGGGAATGATATGTGGCGCCATCTCTGAGAGAAAGAGTGAACTTTCTCCGATAAAATAATCCCGAAATCAATTTAAAAATCCCATCGTCGAAATTTCAATGAGTAAATCTTATAAAAGAATTCGCATTAGTTCGAATTTTTGCCGATAAGAGGGCAGCACCTCCTGGGAATGATATGTGGCGCCATCTCTGAGAGAAAGAGTGAACTTTCTCCGATAAAATAATCCCGAAATCAATTTAAAAATCCCATCGTCGAAATTTCAATGAGTAAATCTTATAAAAGAATTCGCATTAGTTCGAATTTTTGCCGATAAGAGGGCAGCACCTCCTGGGAATGATATGTGGCGCCATCTCTGAGAGAAAGAGTGAACTTTCTCCGATAAAATAATCCCGAATTCAATTTAAAAATCCCATAGTCGAAATTTCAATGAGTAAATCTTATTAGAGAATTCGCATTAGTTCGAATTTTCGCTGATAAGAGGGCAGCACCTCCTGGGCATGATATGTGGCGCCATCTCTGAGAGAAAGAGTGAACTTTCTCCGATAAAATAATCCCGAATTCAATTTAAAAATCCCATAGTCGAAATTTCAATGAGTAAATCTTATTAGAGAATTCGCATTAGTTCGAATTTTCGCCGATAAGAGGGCAGCACCTCCTGGACATGATAAGTGGCGCCATCTCTGAGAGAAAGAGTGAACTTTCTCCGATAAAATAATCCCGAATTCAATTTAAAAATCCTATCGTCGGAATTTCAATGAGTAAATCTTATTAGAAGAATTTGCATTAATTCAAATTTTCGCCGATAAGAGGGCAGCACCTCCTGGACATGATAAGTGGCGCCATCTCTGAGAGAAAGAGTGAACTTTCTCCGATAAAATAATCCCGAATTCAATTTAAAAATCCTATCGTCGGAATTTCAATGAGTAAATTCTTATTGAAGAATTTGCATTAATTCAAATTTTCGCCGATAAGAGGGCAGCACCTCCTGGGCATGATATGTGGCGCCATCTCTGAGAGAAAGAGTGAACTTTCTCCGACAAAATAAATCTTAAATTAATTCGAAAATCATCTGTATCAGGCTGGTACAGATAAACTGCGATAGGGAACTTTTAAAAAATCCCTTTACTTTTTGCAACTTGCAGATGGAATGAAAGTAACTGCAGAGAAAACGCAGCATAGCCGAAAGGGGGTATAGAAGCATAAGATTAGAGGAGAAGGAGAAGGATCCTGTTAGGACGGAGGAGTGTAAGAAAGAGACAGAACTCATTCGTACTCTGGGATATTCGCATAGGGCAAAAGAATATCAACGTGTATATGTGTTTAAAGATAATTTATTGGTCAAACGTAATAATGATACAGTATGCAAAGTACAAACATACATACAGTCATACATAGTACATAGTATACAAAGTGCAAGAATGCATACATCACTACTTGAATTAATATGCTCGACCCGACCAAAGGAATAGGAAGTGTAAGTCAAGCACAATGTAAAGTGAGAGGGAACAGAGTGAAACGAGAAGACAGAAAGGAAGATAAAAATAAAAAAGTTAGAAGGTAGAAAAATAAGGAATAGAGTTATAAAAGTAGAGAAGAAATAAGGAAAGATATAAGTAATAAAATAAGGAATGAAGATAAAGAAATAAATATAGAAAAAGATAAAGGTTGAAAATGTATATGAGGGGTGTGTCCAAGATACCAGTATAGGAGACTGGCTCAAGGAAGAATGAGCGAACAAGAAGACAGAAGGGAAGATAGAAATAAAGAAGTTTAAAAGTAGAAAAGTAAGGAATAGGGGTATATAAGTAGAGGAGAAATGAGGAAAGATATAAATCAGAAAGTGAAGAATGAAATATAAAGAAATAAGGAAGTAAAGAAGAAATAAATATAGAAATAGAAGAAGGTTGGAAATGAATATGAGGGGTATTCCAAGAGACCAGTATAGGAGACCGGCTCGAGGAAGAATGAGCTCTCCGAGTCCGGGCCCTGCCTCGAGCGCCCCCCACCACCCGCCTGCTCCCGCTCTCCGAGTCCTGCGTGAAAAATTTGCGCGCGCACAATTTTGGGTAACTTCCAGTACTTCTAAATATGTTTGACCAGAATTTCCGATTTCTTAGTGTTAATATTTTACTTTATTGATTTAATTAATTATTTTAATGTTTCAAACACCTAATTTATTAATATTTCAACTTAAACGTAATTTATTTTCGATATTCTACAATTTCAATTCAATTTTTATCTACTCCGTATATTCTGCGAGATTTTGATTAAATTTCAATTTTACATTTTGAATAAATTTGTAAGAGTACATCAAAATCCAATAATATTTAGTAAAATTTGAGGTGCTACACGTGTGTCAAGTTGGCACTGTACTTTCTTAAAAATGTCTTAAAAATGTTTCAACAATAGGCTTTTTCAATATTTCTTAAGGAGTTCTATAGTTCCCGTTCTTGTTGAAAGTGTTGCTTTGGGATCCAGCGGTGAGTAGCGGAGAACCTCTGCCCGCCAAGCTATATCTTCGTGTTCACGTTTAGCTCGGCTACGACGGGATTCACATTGTCGACGGAGGCGATGATCACAAAATCCTACTTCGAGACTCGCCGCTACGATTTAGCCCCATGACTTTGGTATCGCCTGAAACCGTATCGTTGTGCATCTCCCTACTCATCTCTGGTGTAGGGCTACTGAGTCTACTGATGCTGCTACTGCTGGCACATCTCATTGGAGGAGTCAGCCATAAGGAAAGGAAGGAAGGAATGCTGCTACCGATGCTAAGACTGATCGCAAACCGCAAACGTGCATCTTAACTGATATACTCTGTATATCTAACTGCTTACCAGAATCAGTACTGCCAGCACATATCCAGTCGGAGACAGAAATTGCATTGCCGTCTCGACACGTTTATTTCTTCCAAGTCGATTTACAAAATTCGGCTACAGATGACCAGACTGATTTGCCTTATCGATACCTGTCGTTTTTATCGGTCAATTCGAAGTACCATTAGTTACGACATATCTCGTAACACTGATCGAGTATTTTTTATCAAATAAATTTTACATTTACCAACCCCATGGAAATGGCCCGTCATAATAATAAAATTTCAAGTATTTTCTTCACTTCTTAATAAAGCATCAAATCCAGCTCCGAGTATTACGTTTGACTTTCACATGAATTAATGCTCTTTCGAAAGGAGCCATATCGCAATCTGATCTGTACTAACCTCTTCTCCGAATCATCCTCCTTTCTGCATTAACCCCCAAGTCGCTCTTGTTCTGTTTCCCCGTCTCGCTTAATCCCTTTAGAACTTCCTTTCTTTTGCCTTCTCGAGTCAAGCATCTTCTTCGAACTCAAGAAATGACAGATCCTTCTGAACTTCATCACTAAGCACGGCCGTTTACCCCTTGTAAGTGATATCGTTAAACAATCTTTTAAAAATTCCAATGAAGATGCCATGATCGATCCACAGCATCCCTTTAGGTCCATACGGAAACAATTCACAATTATCTTCAATGCATGACACTTTTCAAACTTATTTACTGTCACGTGACATTTTTTGACGTAAATAACTTTTTTTTTTAAAATAAATAATTCCGCTGATTATTTAATTCTTTGTAATTTTACTTAATTTCGATATTCACGTGCAATTTTGCTCTTCTCTCCACGTTTCCTTAGCTTTCAGGACATTCCGAAAGGAATCTCCTCGTGGACTGATCCTGTGTTCCCTATTTCCTCGAGCAGAATACGTAGGACATTTATTCGTTAATTCCGTCGAACGTAAATGTCTCTCCAGGTTCCGTAATCCGGAATGACGGAACGATCGAACAGAGAAAAGGTCTTGCTATACGAAAGGCCAAGGGAATCCCTTTTCCATGGTCGCAACGTTCCCTCAGGAAACGAATTAGCATCCATTACGGATGCGGATTGACCACGTGTGTTTCGGAAGTTCGCTCTTGCCATTAATTGTCTCTTGCAGAAAATATTCTATACGAGAGATGCCATTGATAAGATGAATAAATTTTTAGTACACGATGGTACCTGCTATTAGGATAGGTAATACAATTAAAAAAGAAAAAGTATAGATCACTAATAGTATAACTTAAATTTGTATCTATCGGAAATCTATTTCTTATTGATCTCCTTGAAGGAGGACTAAAAAAAAAATAGACCAATAACTAAAACATATAAGACTGATAATTAATCGTAGCTGTGTGATTTATTGTCCCTTTTATATATATATATATATATATATATATATATAGTAAATTTTATTTTCCGTTTTATACCAATTTCAATTAATTTCAAAAATCTTTTAGGGTCAATGAACTTTTTCTTCGGCACTGTGCTATCCCAGATTCAAGTTAAACTTTTCTAAAGTGCAGCATCTCTCCCGTTTGAAGTTAAGAGTTTCCCGAGGACTTCCGGCGGAAAGGCTCTACCTTCAGGAAGCCTCCCTTGGATCCTTTTGCGTTTCCTTTATTAAACCCTGACCCTAAACTGACTTTGATAGCACATCGAGCTCAGCCATCCATATTGAAAAACTCTGCTACGTCCATCATCCTGTAAATTATATTGAAATAACGAAAATATTGTATACGAAAAACTCAGGGGAATCCCCGTTCCAATTGTATGGCATCTGCTTAATCTTACGGCGGGAAATTTGAAACGCTTTTTATTTCCCAACTGTTAATTCCATAAGGACGATTCGTGAAATCTCTAATTCCACTGTCTACGTAATTTCCAGGTCGAGTGACGTTAATGTCTTGTCTAGGGGATTTAAGGGATCGACTTCACCCTAGTCAAAACGATGAAAAACTTTTCTGTCCCCTTTCCGTGAAAGGGTATCTACTTTTTCTAAAAAAATGACATTCCATAATAATTGAAGTTGCGAAAAAATTTTTTTCTTTTTTCATAAAAATTATTATTATTATTCAAATTCTTATCTTCGATCGACATCACTGTACGTTCTAATAATTTTCTCTTACCTGTCTATTGATATGGCCATCAATGTGAAGACGCTGGCGCAGATAGTCAAAACGGCGATGAACTGGCTGATCTTGCAGTAAAGATTTCCAAATGGCCAATGACTGTTCAGCATATAAGTGTAATTGAACGTGACGTTCAACGTGGACACCATAGCGTCTGCAATGCTCAAATTTACCAAGAAGTAGTTGGTAACAGTGCGCATCCTTTTGTGGGCCATGACGATCCATATGACAATAAGATTTCCACCGGTGGCAACGGCTATCATTCCAGCGAATAAAACGGTCCAGATCATCTGACGCCACCAGGGCAATATGAATTGATTACCCGATTGCAGATCGGTTACGTTCGTGTTGTTTTGGCTCGTCAAGTTCTGGTAGAACAACGAAGTCCAATTCAACGTAGACGATGTCGCGTAGAAAAGTTCCTCGAGCGACTGCATACCGACGGATATAAAGTACAGCTGACTATCTTTACGTTCGGCTGGGTCCTGGAATTTCGTCTAGTTGCTTTATTACTTTTACGTACGAGTCGAGTTGCGGTTTACGTGGGTTCGGCGAAGTCACTTTGATAATTTACGACACCTCGTGCTTCGCCGATGTTAAACGCTGTTTATTTGCCAAGGAGCTTTTTTTTCCGGTCGGAGAGTAGCGGGTAGCTTAACGATGTCGGGAATGAGAGAAAGATATGAAAAGAAAAAAAAATTTTCAAAATAATTCTATAATATTCTCTCTCTTTTTTTTTGTATGGGTCTTAATATTGCGAGAAAAAAAGAAAAGTTTTTTTGGGGGGGAAATTTTGAAAATTTTTTTTACAAATTTATTATTTCACTCGGTACGCCCACAGTCACTTGTTTATATTTATTTAGTTTTTTAAAACTTTATTTCGATATTTCACTAAATAATCTTACGGCTCCCCCTTGGGGCACCAGCCCCATTTCGCTTCTTGTTATTCACATAGTCGCGCACAATTTATGTAAACGTAATTCAGCGCTTTCGTGAACTCAATCCCAAAAATTTGCGCACTTCGAGAATCAACATTTTCACGTTGAATTACTTACGCCACTTTCGTTCGGCGTTTCGCGCGTTAAGCAAACTCGCGAAACTTGAACGTTCAGTTTGTTAACACGCGATAAGAATCGACCCTGTTAAACTTTCGTTAAAGTATCTATATGCCCACTTATGTAATTAAACACTGGATATTATCATTATCAGTATTTACAATCAGTGCAAATTTTCATTACCATAAAAACGGATTAGGGCATAGTTAAAAAATTTTTTAAAAAATCAACAAAAAAAATATAATCCATACCGCGTGTAAAGATGCAATAAGAAAATAATTCTTATAACGTAATCGATTGATCGCGTTTAATTGAATCGAGTAAATTAATTAGATCAAAGGAGTAAAAAGTTCAATAAAACTTATCGATATATCTAGATATGCATTTCTTTTATTTCAATTTAATTAATTATATCCAAAAAATTCGATTAATTATCCGTAACTTCGCGCGCCTCTATTATTATTAATTTTCATTAATTTTTCCTTTCCTCCGATCTATCCAATCCCTCGTAATAATGATGGGTACTTTAAAGAAAAATCGAGAGATCTCTTTAATTAGTTCCGCAAGCTATCCTGATACTCGTAACTCCTGCACTAATACCCACGCTCCAAGTATCTATCCTGCTCGCTGCCGGAGTAGCTGGTCTGGTTGTCGAAGTCCACTTCCACTTCCGTTTCATGCACGGATGACCTCAACAGGCTTTGGACGAGTCGGTCTTTGTCTCTCTCTCTCTCTCGTGCACAGTCACTGTCTCTCTCTTTCTCGCTCCAATAGGAGTAACCACGTCAGAGGAATCCATATTCAATTCAAAGGTTATTCACCAAAGAGACAATTTTTTTTTGTCCTCCCAATATCAAAGTCCTAATGGGTTTTTAAGGTACCGTCACAACGTCCGATACCTTTGATATTGAGCTTGCGAGCTCCGTGGCGATCTTCATGTAATTAAGCCTTGCGCCCCTGAATGTATTCCATCAGGATTTTGTAACCGTCCTGAAAAGAAAAAAGAAATTTGACAAATTTTTATTTAAACATTTCTTGGGTCCTTTGTGCCACGTCCTGGTTCTTCATTTACTTCCGGTCTGTTATCAGCGTTTGCCATCGGGACGTATTTCGCTCTAGTTAGACTGAGCTACGGGGGTCGTTTTCAATTTTCTACCTTTTTCACTGTAGATTGCTATTCGTATTTTTGCCGTTTTTTTTATTGTAAAACCGTACTCCCTTTTCTTCCGAACGTACCTTTAATTTTCAGTTTCGCGTCTGGATGTTACTTGCCCTTTTTTTTTTACGTGCGGTTCCACCTTTCACCATTTCTCATCTTTCTGACTGCAACACGTCGCGTTCCGCTTGCAATTTTAAACGGACCTTGCATTTCTGTATGGACGCTGAGTACTTTTCTTTTTCCCCCTTTTTTTTTTCCAAAAATAAAAACCTCAATGCCAGCCTTTCACTCGCTACTCATCTGTACAATGTCCCGGCGTCCAGTCGCAGACTCGTCAAATATTATTTTCCAGTCCACGCACCGAGAGATGTGGATAATAATTTTGTTTCTTCAATTCGCCAACCTGTCATTCACTTTTATTATTTTTTAAAAATCTTTTCATACTCTTCCATTTTTCTTCGCAACCCCTTCTCTCCGGGACAACAATATCAACCTGACGTCAGTTCCTGCTGTTTCTCCTTTTTAAATGGAAATTTTTCTTGTTAAACTTGACCCTTGTCGCTCCTTGCAATTCTTATATCCGATGATCGATGCGTTATGTTATATATCGCGATACCAACAGTCGGTAAAACAGATTTTTCCCACACTTTCCCCTAGTCGCTCTATCCGACAGCTTCTTTACTTCTCTTCTCTATATGATTCTATAGGAAAAATCCAATTGCATTCTCTTCCTAGTTACAGACACAATTCCAAGAGAATTTCTCTACTTCCTTTTCTTCCCTCGCTCTCTTCACTTTATCCCAGACAACAGTATCGATACTTTATCGCGTACAAGGGTATCCGAATGCGAAATTTTTAAAAGCAGAATCGACCTATTCTTTCTATTTTACACAAGAATTTATCACTTTCCCATTTACGTCCGACGACGACTCCACCCTTAGCCTCGTACGATTTTGACCTGAAACATAAATAACAAATGTTAAATTTGGTCGTTTTCAGGGGTAGTTTTTGTAATTTCGACAAAGTATCACGTTTCAAGGGTTTCAATTTTCAGTATAAATGCAACAAGCATATAACTGGTATTAAAAAAAAATTAAATAACAAGATGGCTGTCATAACGTTTTTTTTTTCATAGGTATAATCATACATTTAATCCAATTCCTATCCCATCAATTTATTATTATTATTCAACGAATAATCCACTCATCATTCTCAAAGGACTTTCACACTCTGATCACTTAGTCGGCGAAGAATTCGAATTTTACTTCGAGACTTGATCCTTCGTCGAACCAGTACGGACTTTCAATTAGTTTTACCGATCGATTCTCCTTTCTTTATTCAACCGGATATCGGTAATCCTATGCATACCGGCACGTGCCCTCGATTGACGCCTTAATATTATATTCCCAAGGGTACCGGAATATCTCGGCTCGTTTCACCCATGAATCGTTTCGCAAAAAATTTCGCAAAATTTCATTCGCTTCTCGCAAATATTGCACGTCTGTCGCTCTTAGTAAAAATTACATCCCATACGCAAAGGGCAGATTCGTACAATGAAAAATCGTTCTTTGTTGAACTTGACGCTTTGTCGTAGCGTTGGAGTAAAAAGTCTGTTTTTTTTTTGTGGGGGAGAGATGACGTAATTTAGTTCTGGGTGATATGCGTCAGTTGGGATATGAAATTTTTCTTTTACTCTGACAATATTCCAATTGACAAATTTTTAGGGGGGTGCAAGAGGGGTAGTTTTAGGGACGATTAATCTATAGGGATACTTGTTGACGAAAAGGAACGCTTTACCGCGCGTCGATTCGGTCGGTGTTCCTTTGGGGGTGAAAATTTTGTTTTTTAAGTAATTACGAACGGATGACTAATTACGCGAAGGATATTCATTTACGTAACGTCATTCGGGTCGAAGGCTTTTGAAAGTTTTCATTGTTGTTATCGCGTTTCGGAATTTACAAGTGGCGACAGTTTATAGCGGGGGACGGAGGGGGGATGAAATTAAGGGACGGGCAGTGCAAGTGGCAAATTTTTTTTTCTTTTTTTTTTTTTCGTATTTTTGAATAACAGTCAGTTACGTAAAACCGCAACCGGCGCGGCGTGAGTCGTGAGAATCTTCATGAGGCAGCCGAGAATTTAAGATGGATTCACGTAAATGGATTTAAGATTAGGATAACTCGATAGTGAGGTATTTTATATAGCTACTGTAAAATTGTTATTTAACGGGTGAAAATAAATGACCGATAGGCTCGTTCGAGATTTTGAATTTTTCTTCTTTAACCTCTGCAAATCGACTCGAAGGTACTGGAACCAGTTTCTCGAAAGGCCGTATGCGTGAGATTTCGAATTACGAGGTCGAAAGGGAGACCCACCCCTTTAAGACGAAAAACTACCCCCGATTCATAAAGCCTCCTTGGCTTGACTTCCGGTAATTTCATTTATTTGAATTCCACTAAAAGCCTCGAAATATTCGACGACTGAATATTAAGAGCTTATTTTAATTGAATAATAATTCATTCGTGCCCGCATCTGTCTTCCTGGAAGCATAATAATAATTTTTTTTTTACTTTTTATAATTCTTGGATTCATTTATTTAATCCGATATCCATCGATCCTCTTTATCTATTTATTTAATTTTTCATATATATACACACTCAAATATATATATATATATACAGCCACTTTATCTTGATGCATTTGAATTTTAATTTCAATGCCATTCACAAGCGCATCTCGGGTCACTGGGTATTGTGGTCAAAGTTCGTAATTACGTTACACGTTGCATCAGTCCAGGAGTTTTGCTATAGGGATCGCTCGATGCTCGTGAATGCATCCCACCACCTTAAACAATCCCTTGACCATGGTTCGGAAATTGGGGAAATTCCAAGATAAGTATTATCAATTCCATTAACTGGTATCATTGTTATTAATAAAAAGACAATTGCCTTTGAATTCGTGGTATTAGCTTTAAGAGAAAAAAAAAAGTCTACAGAGATTTAAAAAGCTTGTCAGATCCGTCGAGTATTCACGGGGTGTGACAAGATGCTGTAATTTTCGCAATTCGCGAAATTTTCACTGTATTCGTTATACCGAATACATGAGATTTCGCGACATCCGCCGAGAGCAGAGCCTATGTGAAATATCAAAACGTTTTATCAGCATCTGTGATATTAAGAGAAAAAATTCGCGATTTCGTTATTGCAAATTTTTTTTTATTTGCCAAATTTCATATTTCACGTTTCATTAGTTTTAATAGGTTTCGCGGAAAATTTGCGATAAGGAAAATCAGCCTTGTCGTTGTATCCGATGTCGCGGTTAATTAATTGTCAAACTTTTATTCACTCTTAATTATTCGTCGGTATTTCGTATTTATTTTTTTAAGTGGGATTATTTATAGCTTTCATTGATTTAATAACGAGTTTGATTTGTGGCAGAGCCGAATGGGCTGTAGCTACGTTAATTGTAATGGAACGTACTATAGACGTAGGTAGCACTCTGAAGTGAGCACCTATCTGAAAATAAAGCAATTAACGATCGAACTTGTCCGGGTTGAACTAAAAATAGTCAGAGATCGATATTGGGTAGACATTTTAAAAAAGTAGCACCTCGTTACGTCATTGCCCATGTGGAATTTTACCCTTTCATAGACTCGAGTGGGGTTTTTCATAAATTTAAAAAAAACAATACGTTAATTTTTACGACTTGTTTTTTCTTCCTAGCCAACAGTCGACGACATTTCACTTTCACTCTGTCTGTACATAATTCGCGAATTACGTTTTTCGCGATATTTTTTATCTTCGTGTTTTTTTTTTTTAATATATACAAAGGGAAAGAGGGTAGATAATTCCCACCCTTTTTTTTTGTCAGATACAGAAATATTACATGCAGATTGAGAAGATTACTTTCCCATGGGAAGTGACTTTCGGTTATGAAAATCACAAGGGACCTTGAAGAAGAGGGGTGGAAATAGAACAAAAAAAAGAACATGCAAATTTTACAGATACGAAGTAAATTTCAATGTAACAAATAAGCTTAGCATTTCCAAAATTTCTTTCGTTCTCACGACAAACAAAGATAAAACTTATTTCTTCCGTGACTGTCAATAAAGAAAAAAAAAATTTTTAATTTTCACGCTTTCCCCCAAAATTTCATCTTCCCGTCCAATATTCAAAGCCTCCATGATTAATCGCGATTCCGCGAACAAATCACGGACAAGGTAAATAATCGTTTTTCCATAATACTCATTAACAATGACCAAGACTTAATCCAAAAGCAGGAAATTATCGAAAAATTAATTTTCAACGAACAAACGACTTTTTCATGAAAATCCAATAAGGAGTACCCAAGAAATTAATGAGACCTTTCTTGAAAATTGAAATTCCAATTATCACCAAAGAAATAATCTGACAAGTACGGAAAGTAGCCGATTCGAAGAAGATCACGAAGATCTACTCAAAAAAGAAAACAATAAAAGTCCAATAGATGTCGCACCGATAGTCATCGATCGAAGAGTAAACCAAGAGACCGTAGAAAGATAAGAAGAAAATACAGCGAAGAACGTCTGCACGGAGAATTCAATCAAAAGAAGAAAAGCAATTCGTAGACTAATAGAATCAATTGAAAAAAGAAGTCCCTACCTACAACTAGAAAAGTAAAGCCGGGCAAGAGGACGCGCCGGTGGCGCCACCTTCAACTCAAGTGAAACCAGACGCTTTTCGCATAAGGCAAGCAATAAAGAAAAAAAAGGAAAAAAAGACAAAAGAACAGAATAATAAAGCAGTCCGGTAATTCAATAGGTGGAAAATGGCGGCGTTGGTAATACAATCTCACGTTAAGTAGTCAGCACCCTTATTTGTTAAGATTACCATCGCCTGTCCCACGAGTCCTCCGTCTTGTTATCTTTTTACCTTACACTCGCCTTTCCCCCATAAGCTTCCCTTTTATATATCACTCTCTAAACAGACTCCTTCGTCACGGACCAGCTTTAACCGCGAATTACAATTAATTTTCATCCACCCTACAGACCCTAATACGTATTATCACTGATCATTGATAATTTATCTCCTCCTTGACCCTGATTGATAAGCTCTGAACGCCCTACAGTCCAAGCTTCGTCATTTTCCGAAAAGTACGATTAATCCCCATTAAAAAAAAAACAAAAACGAATTATAACTAATCGAATTAAAATAATTCAAATTATTAATGAACCCCATCAAAAATTTTGTATTAATTAATTGACCAAAATTTATTTTACCTCATCCATCCTCTAATCCCACCTACGATTGCAAGATCATTGTCATTGTCAATAATAATTTTTTTTCCTTATCACTCCAAAGTGCAACTGCATAAATTCAAGCAAAACTGCACAGATGCACCAAGCTCAAATGCACTTCCCTCCCGAAGCACATCGACCGCGGAGCATCGACCGTACGCAGCCAGTATCGAGAATACAATTCATTGCGAAGCAATCAGCCACCCCGAAATACAGCGTGCTTTCCAAGAGGCCAAGAAACAGGCATCCCGCTACCAGTAAGAGAACAGTAAAAAGTCTTATCAGGTTCCGGCCCGATAAGGGTTCATTCATACGACAATCAGATACCCCGGCACTTACTTAACTCCCCAGCAGTTATTTGTCCCCAGACGTTTCGTCGTCTCCATTCGTCCATACCCTTCACCCGCAGGCTAATAGTATACCTATATATATATATATGTACCCCTATTGTCTACAAAACTCTCACTCTCCTTTCGCGAGTTCGCCAGGTCATCAATACGAATTTTAAAAAAAAACCTAGAAAATGAGTTTACTAAATTTTCAAAAAAAAAAAACATTTTTTGTCACCAACCAAAATCCCCGTCAAACTAGCACGTGATCGAAAAGAGACACGGGACGCGTAACAATTTGTAAGGAATCCTCGAGGCTGAGCCAGTCCAACCCCCTTTGGAACGACTCGACTTGCC